TACTCGCATATAGGAGGGTCAAGAAATGCTCACGATTTTTCTCTTCTCATTTGAGAATAATAAAGAATAATTAAATAAAAAATTGTGTTTTTCCTTTGTCCAGAAATTTTCGAAGGATTCCTTTTTTTCCCATCCAGAATTATATTCAAACGATGTATTTCTCACGCATAGGAGGGGAAAGAATGCTCGCGATTTTTCTCTTCTCATTTGAGAATAAATAAAGAAAAATTAAGTAAAAAAATATTTTTTTCTTTTCACCAGAAATTTCTGAAAGATTATTTTTTTAATATTCAAACGATGCCTTACTCGCACATAGGAGGGAAAAGAAATGCTCCTGATTTTTCCATCCCTTTTTTTGTTCATTTTATATTAAGCCTGTATATATTTCTATTTCTTTATTCTTTTTCCTTTTTATCTTATTAAGCTTATGTGTATTACTTTATCGTTTTTTCTTCTTTTTAAAATTATTTTTAAATAATTTTTTTTTTAGTTGGGTCTGACAAAAAAAAAACGTTTTATTGTAGCGATTCAGAAAACCAGAAAAACCAGTTATCCGGAATAGCGATGGTCCCGATCGTTCCGGATAATCGGTTCTCAACTGTATAACCACATGAGCAAATCACGATATCGGATTTTAAACTCACGTGAATACGAATCGCTACATAGGATTTTAAAAACACATAAATACAAATTGTGATATTGGATTTTTAAATCTCGTAAATAAGAATCGCAATATAGGATATTTAAATCGCAAGAATAAGAATAAAAGTATTAGCAGATTCCGGACTTGGGACACATAAAAGGCTTGCTTGATGCAGTGATGTCTTAATTACGAAAATACGAGTTATCTGGCGGGCGGGTAAAACGCGCTTATCTTCTGCGCATAAAAGCAGAGAAAATAGCCAAAATAAGTAAAAATGCAGAAGGGTTGGCAGCAATGTAATTTGAATTTTCTCTTTATCTTTGAAAATCGGAAATAAATATCATTATTTAAATTCAGCGGCTAAATTTTCTGAAAAAGCGGAATACTTATTAAAAAAAAGTAAACTTTCAGATAATCAGAGTTTTCGATAAAAAGGCTGAAATTCGAGACAAAAGAGGAAATACGCCAAAAAGCGGAAAAATCTCATCCCTGCAACAAGGCAGGATATTATAAGATTAACTGAATTGTTTTAAAAAAAATATTTAATCATAACATTTATGAACAAAAAGAATTTATTTATTGTGAAAAGAAAAAAAGACTCAAATGTAGTGGAATCAGAAATGTATCACTTTAAAAAAAAGAAAACTGCAAACTGCGTCATAAAATAATCGTCTGCTATTAGTAATAAATAATTGTATGCTTAGATTAATAAACAATCTTCTTTTTTTTTAAAAAAAAACAGACAATATTTAACAAAAACAGACGCGATTTGTGATTCCACCTTAAGAAAAACTTGCAAATGATACCGCACTTCTAAAGAATCAGAATTTATTCAAAAGAAAAATATTATTTCGTTAATTGATGTCAAATAGATAAATATATTATACATAATAAATAATGTATTATCTGAAATTATAAAACAATTTGTCAAAATAAATCAAGGATAACAAAAACTGAGTAACTAAAGTGGATTTAAAATAAATCTAACAATACTCAGAAGTTTCGTTTCAAGTTCCTTAACTCAGGCATACAATTGACAACACTTAGATACTGTTATGAATAATAGAAGAATCTTAAAAATGCACCTAATGATGATTGTTTCGGAAAAAAATTGGATTTTCTCTAATCCCCTATTGCGTGAGAGCAAATAAGGCTATTACGAAAAGCGGAAGAGTGAAATTCAATTTGATCGAGTGTCGAATTCTCGGACAATGACGATTCCCGGTTTTGGGGTAAAATTGCATTTCCCCCTAACAATTCACTAAAATTTTTTCAGAAGCTCGTTTTTCCTGACTATTTCCGGGTCTTATGAATCTGTCATTTTACTTTCCGAGAATATCGTCGTTAAATTTCCGAATTTTCATTCCAGATTCTAAATTTAAAATGATCCCAGTTTAGAAAAAGATTCATACTTTTTTCTTATTTTATTTTTGTTTTCAAAACTTCATGTTCTTATAAGGAGTGGCAAAACTTCGTCGCGCTTTAAATGAAATGTTCCCAAATTTTTTTCTTATTTAATCCACTTTAAATAATGAGTTAAAAAAAAAAAAACTAACCACTCAAATTTGGATTCCAACGAATGTTCTATAACTCTCTTTCGAATCATTAAATGCTAGCCTAATGGTTGTTTTTTTTTATGCCCCCCCACTAGCACAGCCAATTATGTTAATAATTTACTAAATTATAATTACAAAATTCTGATTATTTTTTAAACGATTAAATTCTGCTTAACTATATTCCTACTTTATTATTGAATAAAAAATATCCGTTTTTTAATCGTTTTCATATTTCCATTTTACTTTTTCTTAGATAAGTATGGGGATATATTTTTCTTTTTTATTTCTCTTTCATTTTCTGTTCACTGATATGAGTGTGCAATGCATTTTCCCCACCCCCTCGTAAATCAAAGAGAAAAAGAAATCAGCATGCCACTCCTTTAAATTTGATTGACGGCAGCATATCAAAAAAATTATTCTTTCTGACACACGTGAGAAAATAAAAAATTTGTCTCTTCCCTGTCCTTCTCGACCAAAAGATCTTCAAGGTCACGGAAGAAATGAAGTTTCTCAGGACAAACGGTAAGAAAAATCCACCCTTCCCCTCATTTTTCTCTACTCAACTTCAAGAATGAGTCAAATTTCCGCTTTTTTTCTTTAATCGATCTAGTTCAAAATGGTGGGAAAACTGAGCAAAATACCCCCGTTTTATGGTCTCCCGGATACTGGATAAATGGTTCGCTACTGTATTTTCAATCTATTCGTGTTTTGATTTCCCCAGTATATATTTCTATCTAAACAAGCTAGGAAGTTCTCAAGGAAAGTAAAACTATTTTTCAATAAAATATTCATTCTAAATTAAACCATTATTAAAAATTAAGGTCAAAATTATGACATTTATTTTACCCTGTATAATTTCTACAGAATAGTAGAAAAAAGTGTTTATGGTCTATATATAAAAATTACATTCAAAGAATTTTTTCATCTCGCGGCTTTTTTTACACACACTGTTAAAGGAAAGTTCATCAAAATAACGACATCAAAGTAAGCGGTTCCAAATTTTGGTGCATCGTCTAGTTTACTCATTTGGACAAAATATGACATCAGCGTATGCATCAACACTTTTATCAATGTAGGTTCTCTAGGAACATGAAATAAAATGTCACAACTTTAGTGAATAATAATGATAGAGTGCGTTATAAAATCTATGAAGTTGAATGTGATTTCAAGAAGTAGGGATTCAATTATATTTTCAAATAAACAAATTAAAGAATGTAAATTACGGCAACCTAGGCCAATGAGCCCATACGCCAATTGTAAGATGCCTCATGGCCTTGACAGAACCCAGCCCAGTTTATATACAAGCAATACGCAGACAACGGGCAAGGCCCCGAGTCACGCAAGAATAAATGCACCATAGCTGCGATCGAGAGCAAAGGAGGCCCGACAAAGACCAAGGAGCAAGTTTCTGCTCCAAAACCTGATGAGCGGCAGTGCCAAACCCCCTGTAGACGCAGTCAAAACTGGGTCGACAGCAGGAAGACCGCTGCCCTCCTGCGATCCATCGAGCGGTCCCAAGCCTGGAAGGCCCTAAACCACATACTTTATTAATTTAGAAAATACAAAATTGAAACAAAGTAAAACACAAAGCAAAATAGGATAGTTAATCCTATTTTGCTTATTAAGTTGGATCCGTACTGCTTATTCGTCTCGTGACAATTGATGCACTTTGGTTTATTTTTGCATGATGCCGCACGGTCTGCTTCATCACATGTGGAGTAAGTTTCAGTGTGGTAGCAGTCTTTGGCCATGTGACCGAGCCTGTTGCAACTATAGAATCAGAGTGGTCTTAGGTACTCTTTGACTCTGTAATTTCTCCAACCAACATAGACTCCTTCTTGCGCTAGAATCTTTTTAAAACTCTTTGCCTTCATTGCAAAGAGCACACCCTTCTTAGCTTTGATTGGGAATGCGACCTCAAGGTCTCCTTCTTTAATGTCATAATTGTTGGCTTTTGGGGAGGCCCTCTTTGGTCATCCTCTCTAGTAGCTCGAAAATTATAAAATGCGGTTTGCGTCTAATAGGCACTTCACAGAGCATTCATTTGCCAAGGTCTATTTCAATTTTCTCTTTCAAGATTGCCAAGTCTTGTCTGGTCTCTAATTCGACCATTAGTTCACCTATCTGTGTCTTTTTCAGCTCTTTGACCTTTAGTTCAATTTCATCTGGATCAATTTTCTCCTTTACAGCCTCTTCCATTGCCTATGGAGTAGAGTTCTCCTTTGTCTTGATCACGAATATGTGTTTTTTAGCTTTTTTCGAGAGATGTGCTTCCCGGCCAATTTGATTGCTTCTGCATATGTCTTCTCTTTCTTTCTTTTACTGTTCTGCTGAATCATTTCAGTTAAAGCTCTTTCGGCCTCAATTTGCGCACCCTTGGTGTACGAAAGAAGTCCGTTTTGATTTGACTTATTCAGGACAAACTCTTGCATAATACTCATAATTTTCTAGACTGCAGCCGCTGTAAAGGATTTCTCCTTTAGTTCATTAAGATTTCTACTCATTTTTTCTCTAACAGGCACTGCGCTGTAGTCGACAACTCTTTTTGCTTTTCCTCGAAGGAGGACACGAAATCTTCAGGCGGGCCGAAATCGTCTTCATCCGAGCTCTCGATCATTCTATCTCAATCAGTCGGCTCTATCCTCTATTTCAATTTCTTGTCCACCAACAAATAAACAAATTAAAAGAAACAAAGAATAAAGTGAAAAAACTAGACTTAATGCAAAACCCAGAGGGATAAGGTCTACATTGATTAGGTAATAAAACATTGTAAATAAAAAGTAGAGATGTATTTTACTCACCAATATAAGAGTTTCTCTTATTTTTTTGATGACTGAAATATGAGCATTTGCCTGAGCTCTCATGTAATGAACTGCAAGACTGAAATTTAGAAACAGAAAATAATGAATAAAATAACTTAGTACGGAATAACAAAAATATAGTTACAAACAAAGCACTCACGAAAAAATAAAACTAATATTTCCCAGCCTCTTTATTTTTTTTTTGCCAGTACACTTATAGAGCCAATTTTCAAAAGTTTAAATAAAAAAGTTAACAGTTTAATAAATTTGTGAGACTTGAAAAAATGTCTACATAGAATTTTTTTTCCAAAAATATAAAAAGCGCGGTTTAAATAAAAATTCCCAATTTATTTAAAAATAAAAAGAATCAGATTTATTTGATTCAAATCAGAATTTTTAATATTTAAATCAAATTTTAAATTTTTTTTTAATGTACCAGTCAAATTATCAGATAAAGTTTAGTAACAGTGCTTAAAATAATTTAAAAACAATAACATAGTTAAAATAGTTGATATTTCTAACTAAAATTTTTCAAAAATTATTTTTTAATTACTATGAACTTATCACTGAATAAATAAAATCATGGTTATTTTTGTTTAAGCTAAATATCCTAAAACTTTAAAGACTGGGAGGCAATTTGTCAATTAGATATTTAATTAAGAGCTAATTAGTTAAGATCAAAATAAATAAAAGAAAAAAAATATTGCAAGTCTTTCTTCACTATTGGTAAACACTAACTACACATTTAATATGTTTTAAAAGTATTCAAATAAGCACAAAACAAAAAGTTAAGACGTGTTTATAAACATAATATTTCAATTATACTCCTTTTTCATCTGCAAAAGAGTGGATTGAAAAAATCTTTTAAAGAAACCATCCTGGGCTGTTGTGTCACCAATGATGATGCAGCAAATTATTTCACACACAGGGAATGGAAAATTATAATTTATCAGTTTAATGTTATCCATTTTCTCCAATTATTCATTTATTAGTCTATTTTGAAATATTATAATTAACCCTTTTATTATTTCTTTGGAAAAACCTTTTCTTTCAATGAAGTTAGAGTTTTAAAAGAATCCCACCCTAAATAATATATATTAATGAATTATTTAAAAATAAAAAAATCAGTTTAAACAATAATTTTCTTTTAAAAAATCGCAGTTGAATTAAATCAATGATTTAAATTAAATTATTCAAATCATGCCGATATTGAAGTATTTAAACAATATTTATGAATTGCCCATGATGGTGAAGTATTTAATGTACGATTAAGGAATATAGAGTTAGGTACCGCTCTTGTAAATATGAATTTAAAATTAAATATTTTTTCATAACTCAAAACTCATGAAAATGCTAAAAAAAACCTAACAAATAAATTAACAAGTGTCATTTTTTTTTTAAAAAAGAAAAAAATATTTAAAGTGATAACTAATAATAACAAAACTCTTTTAATCAGGTACATCTCTCTTTAGACCTCTATTTCATAAAATATTTTTGCTGACCAAAATAATATATTTTTTAAGAAAAGAAAATTTTAACTGTTTCTCTATTTTCAATTGAAATTTAGGAATCATTTTTTGTCCCAGTCCTAAAATAGATAGATTGATAGTGCAGGATACTTGTAAAGAAGCTCTGATTGAGAAAAACGTGCTAATTTAATTAATAAAAAAATTATACATATTTACTGATCTTGAATACAGCTAATATTACATCAAAATTGATTGCAGTATACCATTTTGTAATGACTATTTTAAATGTAATAAATTGACAATAAAAAAAATTGGTAGATACTTGTTAAAATCTTATTCTTTTGCTAACTAAAAATGCTAAATAATAGAAAAAAATTTTGCTACCCCAAAATTTTTTTCGAATTTCAAACATTTTCATTTACAAAATAAAAACAAAACCATTTTAAAAGCTCTTTCAAAATAACCTCAAGCTTTGGGTGAGAGAAATGCAGAGAGAACTCACCACAAGGCACAAAAGACAGCAACCAGAACACTTGGAGCGGTGATATATTTCACAATGTCTGCAACAACGTTACCCACTTTGCCCCCTAAGATCGTACTCCGTAAGGCTTCTCCCACAGTATCAAAATTCTTGAAGGGGCCACAATCCGACGTTTCCAATCTGAAAAAGAACAACCAGCTGATATTCATAATTAAGAAACATGTTTATTTTTTTATTATTAATCAAATGCCAAAAGGGAATAATAGTTTAGTTCATTAAATATATTTCAATTATGAATTTCTCTTGAATTTTGTCTAGCTGGGAATCAAATACAGTCGGACCTCTATTTAACGTAGTCGCTAAATCCCGAAAAAAAGTTCGTTATATGGAAAATTCGTTAAATAGACAATCAACTTTTGAAATACTTACACAACACAAAACAGGTTTTAAATTCATAAACACTAGAAATAATTAAAATTGCAATGGATACAACTTTATTTTGTAAATTATTATCTATTATTTATTTTATAAATCTTAACCATAAAAGAATTCTGCAAAGAAAGTAAGAATAGAACAAAATGTTATCCAGTGTTACACTATCATGCTACATATATTATAAAAGTAATTTTAAACATACATTATCTCATGTGTTCTTAATTTTAATTGCTACTGATAAAATCCGTTAATTTTGTCTGAGTTTTTCGTTTGAAAAAGTGTTTTTTCTCAGAATAAAGGTTGTGCATTTTTGTAATGCACCAAAAACTCCTTCATGCGTATTCTTCTCAAACTGCAATCCACGTCAAATTGTTTAAAATGATTTTAACATTTCATCATATGAAGGTTTGGTAATTTCTTCATCATTTCCTTCTTTCTCACAATTTATAGCTGCACTGTTTTTATTTTTCACACCGTCCGAAATATCCGATTCAGTTAATGTTTCGGTGGTTTCAGCTTTAGAATCAATAGAAAGAAAATCATTAATCCGTATATCATCATTAATTTCGTGGTTCTCTCTTAGCTGTACCCACATTTTTTTAAGTTCTAAAGGAACTCCGCACTTTCCAAATTCTCAGAGTTGACGAAGAATCCAGCTTTAGCAAAACTGTTACGAATGGTACGATCTGTAACATGCTTTAGAAATTTCTGTTATGGTTTCTCGCAAATTGATCTTTGGCATAGATTGCTTATTTTCAACCGCAGTGATAACTTTTCATACAATTCTTTTGCATTAGTGCAGTTTAAAGTTTTGAATCGCCCCTTAATCCATTGGTTGCAGCTTCGATGTAGTGTTTGGAGGCAAGTAAAAAACTGTTAAGTTTTTCAGTTTTTTGTTGATTTCTTTCGGAAGGGCAGGGCAATTGTCGAAAATTAGAGCGATTTTGCGATGCTCTGCAATCATAAGTTTGTCCAACTTATGAATCCATTTTCACAAATTTCTGATGTCATCTATGATTTATTGTTGAACTCATAATCAACCTCCAAAGATTTTGTACCCTTAAAACATCTTGGAGTTTTGCTTTTTCCTATAATTAATGGCTTTAATTTTTGATGGCCAGTCATATTTGCACCTAGCATGATAGTTACTCTTACTTTGCTATGTTTTCCTCCAAACAGGGTATCTGCTACATTTTAGATTTTCAAATTCATGACTTTCCATGACTAATTCCAAGAACTTTTCATGACTTATTGAGGTTACTATTTTCTCCGACAAAAACAGAATGATAAATTTAAAAAATGTTCTAATAACATTCATTGAAATGATAGGTATAACCAAAACTGTTTTACTCTGCATCTTCATATTTATTGATTTTAAATTCAAAAAACAGAGTTGAGAAAGAGTTGAAGCAATAAAATAGCTGAAAAAATAATAGCTGAGCAAAAAATATTTTTTTCTGCAGAATTATATTCTAAAGGTAATTTTCTTGTTCATCAGAAAGGAAAGAAATACTCCTGTTTTTTCTATTCTCATTTCAGAGTTAAAAAAAAATTGCCAATGACTAGCTTGCTTAAGCTAGAATTTTAAATTGATAAGATAAAAATAATAAATAAAAAATAATAATTCTGAAATCACAGAAGTTTAAAACATACTTCACTCTAGAAATGATACTTTTTCTTTAATTTTTTGAAAGAACACCATAATTTTTAAAGAACAATGATAAAAACATTTTATATTTTAATAAAATATGACTCTGAGTGGGGATTTTGTTACAAATTCAGATATTCGGAACACCATGATATTGGGGGGGGGAGCAGAGGAATCCCATTCTAAAAATAAAATTTTTTGGCGACCTAACTCCATGACTTTTCACGATTTTTTTTTAAAATAGTTAAAATCATGACATTTCATGACAAATTTTTTTCAATACCGAAATTCATGACTTTTCATGATTTTTCCTGACTTTCCAGGTGCGCGGATGGCAAACATTGAAAAAATAAACTCGTCTCATCAGCACTAAAAACAGGGTGGCCACTCCAAACCCATTTTCCTGATTTTTCCAGGTAAAAATCTTAAAATTTCCAGGTTAGCGTTTTTTTCCTTTTTTCTTATAAAGTGTAGGATGTGTACAAGAAAAGTGTCTGTATTATAAAATATCTTATTCAAAATGTCATTTTTTTAAACATATCTTGAAAAAAAATAATTTTTTTACAAGATATTTTTTTATTATTTTTTAATGTTCTGGTACAACATTAATTTTTAAAAAATTAAGACGTGGAGAAAATAATATGTTTAGCTTGCAGAATATATTGTTTTTATTGAATAATTTTAATTGTTTTTATTGAATTTAATGTGTTACTTTAAGTAGTATTTGCTCAAAGTGTACCTACAAAATGACAAAATCAGAATAACCAATAAAACCTTGGATAAGTATTGTTTAATATATTTTCATTAAGGAAAAGAAAACCGTTTCAGGTGATTATATATCAATAATTTTTAATAATTACAGTGGCTCCCAAAAGTGCTCACTCACTTATAACTTATATTGAAATAGGAAATAAAAATTCAATAATTAAAATGAATATTTCACAATGGGTATTTGATAATAAGATGTATAATCTATTCTTAGCAAAACTGCACGGAATATTTTAAAAACAAAGCAAAAGTTAATTTTTTAATCAAATAGTAACAAAAATGTTACCCCACGAAAGTCATCGTACATTTAAATGTTTTGGATCTCAGAATTAAAATTATCGTCAATTGCTTTTTTTATTTAATTATTTTTCATTTAATTTTTTATTTCTTTATTAGCAATTTAGTATCAAACCTATAATAGCAAAATTATATTTTAATTTTTGCTTGCTAACTCCGTAATATTTTATTTTATCATTTAAAAATGACTTGTGGTCGTAATAAAATAGACCAAATTTGATTATTTGTCTTCATAAGAGGTAAATCAGTAATGAATATGTTAAATTAGTTTACTGTATTCAATTGAACTGTGCAATATGTGATAAAATGCTTAAAAGAAGGACTTCATATCAGAGATTAAAATTATAAATTTTGTGGAAAAATTCATAAATTTGCAATTGAGTGTTGTAAAAGTTTCTGTAAAAATTTTAAAAAAATATTCTGCACGAATTTCACCTGACAAAAAAAAAACTAGTTACACGTATTTTCAACCTTTAAAAGCTATTGTAGATGCTAAAGGAAACTCCACTAAATGTTAATTTAACGAAAAATTAGATTTACTAATAGACTGAGTTTTTTCTTTAAAAGTGTATGATGACTTTTGTGGGATAAAGTTTTTGTCACTTTTTGATGATTGATTCCTTAAAAATAAACTTTTCCTTTGTTTTTAAAATATTTCATATTGTCATTTAAAATATTTCAGTTTTGTTAAGATTAGAACACATTTTTTATCATTAAATATACATTCTGAAACATTCATTTTAATTAATGGATAGTCTTATTTCATTGAAAGTCATAAGTGTATCAACACTTTTGTGAATCACTGTAATTACATTTCAATATAAAGCTGTACTGTATACTGCATTATACTGTATTTCATCTTACCAGTGCTTTTTATAAAATTCACTGATCATATTTTCCTTAAACCAATATCTCAAGTCAAATTTTTAAATAATGGTATTTTGAAATAGCATTTTTATTTTAAGAGATTCAGTATAAAAAAATAAATGTCAGAAATGTAAAATTGTCTAATTTTTAGTTCTATACTCTATAGAAGAAAAAAAATAGATAAAATTCCTTAAAATTTATACTTTTTTGATTTTTTTTCTTATTTGAAATTAAAACATTTAAAGAATTCCAATCTAAACACACAGTTTTTTAGTTTAGCATAGTTAATTGTTTTTGTTTGAACAACTGGAATCTTGTACAGTGCAGAACTAAAACACTAAGTTTCGTTTTCCTTCTCCTGACTAAACACATATGAATAAAAAAAATTATATTTTATGTATATACATCATTTAATATGTTTCCTATATATTCCTTAGTCATTGTCAGCTTTTTTAGGTAAAAAGAGGAATAGTTTTGAAATATCATCTCTGGAATGCAAGCAACATTTACGAACTTTCGATATTGTGATAACTATACAATTCGAATTTTGAATCAAAAAACTAATATTTACCAACAAAACCGTAAAATTTGATATTAATATATAGTTAGTTCTAAAAAAAACTTTTTTCAAAATAAAAATATACTATAAAAGGTTAAAATGAAATAGAAAAAATTAGCATTAATGCAAGAATTGTAACAATTTGTCGACAAACATTGCTGTTAGTGATGGGGGAAAATGCGTGATTGGTTGGTTTGCTGAGAAAAAATAATTTACAGATTTCTTTGAATGGGAGTTCAAAAGCTTTCAGAAAAAGAGTGCAATATAAAATCTATTATTATTAAATTATAACCAACTAATTTTTAGAGAATTTAATAAAGTTAAAAATACAAAAACATTTTGACTCATTTTGTCAAAATAGAAAAAAATTACCACTCTCAATTGCGAACAAACTTGAATCATTGTGTGAACACGGACAGAATTTAAAAACCGAATCCTAACCCCGTCTTCCACATCCACCATAATCTTTGCCTTTCCTAAATTGCACAGTCTGCATAGAGATCAAAGGTTTCTACATTTGCATGGGAGAATTTTATGTTGTATTCTAGTTTAACAGGGTTATAATGGAGCAAATTTTGATGAAAGCAAAGTAAGTTGATGATATTTTAACTGTTTGGAGATACATTTCCGTCTAAAAAATGTGGGTATAATGGATGAAACAATTTAAATTAAGAAAATTAGCAAATAATTTAAATTAGTGAAATTAAAAAAATATATAAGAAAAAATTTCCAGCTTTTCTTTAAAATTTCCAGGTTTTTATCCATATTACCCTGATTTTTCCAGGTTTTTTCCAGTATTAAAAAAAATTCCCTGATAATTCCAGGTTTTCCAGGTGGGTGGCCACCCTGAAAAATGTTTTCTAGCTTATAGTCTTTTAAAATCTTATTAAGAGTTTCTGTAATCCAATTTATGCAATCTTTATCATTGACGTCATTACTTTCACCAGATATAACTTTTGCCATATATCCCTTTTTTCTCTTAAACTTATTAAGCCATCCACTACTTCCTTGAAATTCATCATGTCCCAATTCCTTTGCAAATTGAATAGCTTTCTCAGTTATTAAAGGTCCAGAGATGGGAATGTTTTTTTTTTCTCGCATTGCGTGCATCCACTGCCTTATATTCAAAACTGCCTAATTCACATCTTCATGGACTTATGTTTTAAACAAGGATTCGGTAAATCATTGTTTTTAATCTTATCACGGTTCCTTATTATCGTTGCTAAGCTGCTTGAAGAAATACCAAATTTTGAAGCAATATCTTTGAAGACCCATTCCCTCTATCTTCCCTGCTCTTTTCCTACTCAAGGAATTTCCCTCTTCCCCCCCTTTTCTAGAGGTGTTGCATTTCCTGTATGAAATGCAAACAAAAAGTGAAAGGAATTTTACTTTCTCTAAAATTCAAGTGGATGCGAAAATCAATGCAAGGTCATTTCCTCCATAAAATGCGTTAGCAAGTTTATAATTTTCTCAAATATTTTGGGAAATAAGGAAAGTAGATCTAAAATTTTTTTTCTCGATAAATTCACTTCGCTATTTGGAAATTATTTTACGAAGCAATTTCAAAAATGTTCTTGGTTCCACGAAAAAATTCGCAAAATAGAGAAATTCGTAAAATGGAAGTTTGTTAAATAGAAGTCAAACTGTATGAATAAGAATTTTGATTTTATAAAATAGTCATTTCAACTGTTTTATTGTGACTTCGTTCTTTGATTTTTCAGAGAAATTTAACATCAGTTAATTTATTCTAAGTTTAATTTTTTGAGCAGATAATATTCTTTTACTTGAATGCTCGTTGTATATTCTTTCACTTTGTTTGAAAGAATGAAAAATCTAAAAATATGCATAGATTTTATTTCATTTAGAAATGATTAACTAAGTAAGTAAAAATACTTAAAGAAATAAAAAACATACATTGGAAGTCAAGATGAAAAAAAAAAAAAGCTAAAATAGATTTAATAAAATGCTCTGTAGTGTTTAGCAATTCCAGCAGAGGACGTGACACATTTGTCTTTCAGGTACAGTTGTGAAGCGAAGAAGGGTTGCTAGCTGTCACATGAGATTATTTTGACTGTGTTGTGTGAGCAATCATTTTTATGTTAAATTGTTTTGTCATCTTAATAAAATTGTGATTTGACTCAACTCAATTTGTTTTAAGAACACATCGAAACAAATTAACATGTCGTATGCTTCAGAATATATTAAAGATTATTCAAATATGGGGAGTCTTATAGATTTTTTACACTTAAATGCTTGAAATCAGCTGAAATATTCCCCAATTTTGATGGACATTAAATAAACATCAAGATGCATTTTTTCAGTATGTTTATTATGTTGTTTAACTCATAATTTTGAATAGCAAAAGCTTTTAAGCAGATTACCTTAAATAAGATGAACATAAAAAACAAGAACAAGAAATATCTTTGAATGACTTGGAATAGAAAACATTTTGAATGTATTTCAATAAAAGAAACACAGACACACAAGAGACAGATTGTTTTCAATTCACAACTTTTACCCTAATTAAAGAGTTGAAAAAAGTTCCACCAGACATTTTCACAACAAACTTATTTCGTCAAAAACTAAACAAAAATTTTTGCTTTTCTGCACAGATAAAGCAAAGTATTTTGTTAAAAAAAAAATCCAAACAATCTTTCAAAAAAAAATAAAAATATTATTTGTTATATTTTTTTGGGTGGTTATTTCCAAAAGTATAAAAGAATGTAGAAACTGAAAAAAGGAAACACATTAAAATACCGTAAAAAAAATTATATTAACTTAATATAAGATTCCTGCCAGGCTGAATGGTTTCAGCATCATCCTCATATCATTCAAAGCAATTAAAATAAAAATATCAAAATTGCAATATCGGAAACACAATCTGTAGCTCTAGTATCAAATTCTGTAATTCTCATATTCTGATATTCTTGAGCCAAATTCTGCGGGCCACCAAGGCGAAGTGGCAATTGAAAATTTTGCATCCTGAATAATCATGAATAGTAATTCTTTTAATGCTTTGGTTCAATTTTTATTTTTGAAAAATATAATACACAATAATCACATAGCAATGAAGTGTAATAAGAGATTTCATATGCAAATATAAATTACATAACTGCTAAACTGTAGTGGCAGTTTACTCCTCTTGAAAAAAATTTAAATAATCAGTCTTATTTCCATTTCTAATTTTTTCTATATAAAAAACAGTCCTGTATCTAATTAAAAAATCTGAATATAAAGTATACACAATAGTTTTAACCGTAGAGTAACAATTTATGTGTTTACTTTATGTACATTGGGTATTTAATAAAGGGGTCTATCTGATTGTTTCCTTTCTGAAATTGAAGATTGCAATTTGTTGAATTGATTCACCAAAAATTCATTTGCATCTCAGCCTTATCAATCACTTGGGGCAAAGCTGGGATAGCCTGGTTGGTAGGGCCTTGGAACCCCGCTTGTGAAAATGGGAGTTCAAATTCAGCTGGCCGAACACTTCCCCTATATCAAATGATGACTAGTGCCCGTTAAATCTGCCAGCGTCACAAAGTCCCCCAAGTTCCCATAACAAATCAATACTTCTGAGGGTACTGATCTAGGAGTTCCCTTGTCTTCCAGATCGGGTTCAAAATTACAAGGCTACATTGGTAGTTGTAAACCCAGAATTGGGTCGGCTGTTCAATAACAGTTATAAAATAAAATCCCTTACAACAATCTATTTTTGCATTTTAGGATCCTCTAAAGAATAAACAATGCAAGTGAAAAACATGAATAGTGATTTAGTGCAAAGAAGATGCTGATGAATGCCCTTTTTGCAACCACCCCAGGAATTACAATCAGTTGCAAGGATTAACGCAAACACAATCCCCCCCCTTTTTTTTGTTGCAGAAAGGAAGAGAACATTAAAAAACATTCTCTAAAAGGGATATCTGTCTCGAAGGTATTTCAGCCGAAGACAAACTTTATTTTTAGGAAATGTACGATTATAAAAAGAGTAATAATGCAACACAATTTGCAAATGGAGGAAATGGAGAATGCATGGACTAGTTTTATATATCCTACTGTTTTTCTTTTTCTTCGATTGCTGATTTAAAGAAATATAATTTTGATTTACTTATTCTATATTTAAATTAAATATAATGATTTTTAGGTGTTCCCTTAATTTATTCTTTTAATTGATACATAATAAATTAGTTATTTCTATTTTTTAAAATTTATTTTATGAGTTTTTAGCAGTTTAATCATTTGATTTATCTAAATTTTGTATGCTAATAACTAAGTTCATACTCAAAAAGATATTCATATTTAATAAAAATGTAAATTAGAATGTAAAATCAAAATATCAAGTTCATAAATTATTTTTATTTTAAAAAAAATCTGATGATTTCCTGAATAATCTTGGTGCAAATGAACCCTAAATAAAAATATACAATCACTAACACACATTAGGAAGATCAACTATAAAAAAAAAACTTCTTTAAGAAAATATCAACAATTAAAGTTTCCCACTTCCTCACACTAAGGTTAACTCTAAAAAAGAAAAGGCAAAATTTTAACTAAACTAAAGAAACTCTTCAAGGATCTGATAAAGATTCAAAATTATGCAAAAACTTACTTAACTTATGATTCCAATTTTTTTTATAATTATTATTTATATTGAAAATAGTAAAAATAAGTCTAAGTAAGCTGTTGAAACTATGATTTGTAACTTAACTGCACAAATTAGTTAGATAATTTACGGAATGCATCTCACTGCTTGAAAATAGGATGAAAAGTTGTTTAGCACATTTATACTATAAATAAAATTAGTTTGAAATCGCTATGTGATTTTCATGATGCAAAATTCTAATAGCTTGAAAATTATTAATAATTCAAAATACCCAAATATGGTGTATCCAACAGTGACTACAGTAAAGAGGAACATGACAAAAGTCAAGACTAGATAGAATGTCTGCATCTCATTGATGGACCAGGATCTTTTTGGAGGATGGCAGTTAGAAGACATGGACACCATTTTGATGTAGAACATAAGAACTAAAACGATGACGATGACGAGGGAGATGAAAGGAACGTAAAACATGGCCAGCCTAAAAGAGAGAGCATTAATAGAAATTGAAAATACTTGTGTGGTTATTTCTTTAAAATATCACTCACCAGGCTAGAGTCTGGAAATAAATGAGATCGAGTGTGTTGTATGCTACGTCAAATTCTTTCAGAGCGATTCGCTGAGTGATGTGTGAATGTACGAGTTTTCGGACAAACTCTCCCATAAAAGTGAAAATAAGGATAGCAATCACAAAATTCACCAGAATAAGACGGTAGAGTTCACTGCCCAGTTCCGTTTCATAACACTTTAAAGAACAAGCAAAAACAATTATTAACACAAAATGTTCTTAAAATAAATATTGCAGTTCTATAGAGAAATGAGTTTTTTTTTTCTTTTTTAATGAAAAAGAGGAAACAAATCATTGCTCAAAAGTCTGGTTTAATGAATGTGCCAATCTATATCAAATATGATTTGGCATAGGGTTTCTTTTTGTTTGTTTTGTGATAACTGAAAAGGGTGAAGCTTGAGTCTTTTATTGTGAACTTAGGCTCTTTGATATTTGGTAGTTTTCATTTTTTTAATGTATATTATCTACACACCCTTTTAAATGCTATTTTTTGGCATGGGTTTTATGAAAATTATTTTTTAGAATTAATACAGCACTCAATCAAATCAGTTGGTTTCTCTTATATCTGCTTACTATTTCATTCCGAAGAAGAATTATGATTTTGTTTAACTTTTGTGGATTAAACAGTAGCTAAGATGAGGGAGATACATGGGCTTTTGTACAAATGTCGTAGGTGCTCAAATTTGACTTTATTTACTGAAATAATTTGAAATATTCTGTTTCCAACAAATAAATTGTGTCTACTATTTACTTTAATGAGATAATATTTTCTTCTATTTAAAATCTTATTCATTTTATATTAAAAAAAAGAGTGCTGTCTGATGGATACAATTGAATATGGGTATTATGGTATTGGTACAATTGGTTGAGACTTTAAAAAAGTTTAGTCACAAAAAAAGGAAGGGCTAATAATATAATCACAGCTCTTGAAATAGGGTCACCATTAGCAACCAATAAAGTTTGAGTGGCAGCTTTTCAATTATGATCTGATATTTTTCTGTAGTTCAATATTTATGCAAAATTAAACTAGAGCAATACTCAATTTTTTTCCTATTCTTACCTGTGTTCTCAACAATCAGAAAAAAATAATAAATTTTTCCTATGCTTCTGCACTGTTGCATATTCTTTAAATTTCTGATTCTGAGTTTCAAAATATGTTAAACAGAAATTTGAAACGTCATGTGGACACTCATAAGAAAAACTGCAGAGTTATGCTCGAAATCAACATAGACACAAAGCTATTCCCTTGGAAGGAGCATCTATCAGGAAAATACTGTGGCGAGGAAAACAGACACGACACACCACACTTTCCCCAATGAGTCCCTTAACACGAGCTTACCCTAGCAACATCACCACCAGAGCTAGGCCCAATTCCTGACCTCATTTCCTAATTTATTGTTTATTTATTACTCTAAAATTATTTAGAGACATTGTATAACTATTATAGAGCATTGACTATTGATATTTGAGAGCTGAGAGATCCAACAGAAGAAGCACGGCTAAAAATAAGATAATGTAGGAAGACACTAACAAGAAAATAGCGAAAAGTAGGAAAAAGTATATTCATGGGGGGGGGGGATTATATTTGGAACAAAATTTGAGCAATTGTTAGAATCAATTATAAATGCTTTTCAAAATTATCTGAGTTGCTGTTAAATGATGGTAGACAGGATGTGTTCCTATAGATATATTCAATTTAAAATTATTTGCTAGTAGACATAAAAAAAGGCATATAAACATTTCATAAGAACCTGATATAACTTAATACAAATAGCATGATCCAAAACTATGCTTGAGATTATAGTGATAATCATAACATGGAAAACAATTTAAGGTTTAGAAACATTCTCTTTGTAAGAGCATTGCTGTTGCTGCATTTAAAATATTAAAAGTCCCACACTTTATGCTTTAAAATCTTGGCTCTAAATATTATTAAGTTATCTCATGAAACAACTTAAGAATACATAAAATTTTAAAATTAATAATATAATAATTAATAAAGTACAATAAAAGTTCACAAAAAATTCATGCAATTGGAGGCCAGTCCCTGAAGTAAAAATATTACCATCAAAATTCTGAAATAATTCTTAAATTTAATGAATAAAAGGTAAAGGAAAATTTTGAGAGAGATGAAGCTTTGGGATTCTTAACTGCTCTCAGGACCCACATGAAAATATGTGATTAGTGAATGATCCCCAAGTCAAGTTGAAAGATTAAGGTACTGATCAATAAATAGAATATCTCGAGAAGGCCATTAGCTTGCCAGTGACGAAGACGATAATGCGTCATCAACATTGAAATTAAGGGAGGTATTGTTACTCGCGTCCGTGAAATTCCTGAATTCACACGTGCCTCCTGGGTGGTGCTAAATGAGTAACAGCGTTCAACTATTGCAGCTCGCAGCAAACCGAAGGAAATGAAAGAGTTTCGTTTTTCTATACTACAATGGAATGCTGGAGGTCTTTCCATCTCTAAGTTTAAGGAAATTAAGAAAATTGATTTTGAAGAGGATGTTGACACCCTAAGAATGCAAGAAGCAAATATCACAGAAGAGAAAATGAAAAGATATTACATAAAGAATTATACTATGCATGGACTTTTTAAATCCAGGCAAATTGCCAGTGGTATACTTTTGCAATTAAAAATGAATTAACCACAACTTTCAAAGTGGTGAAAGAGATGAACAACAATGATTCATCAGAGATAGTGGAGACTAACATTTGGAACAGAAATGCCCATTTCAAAGTTTATGGTATTTATAGTCCTCCTAATAACAACAATCTTAACCTAGACATGTTGACTCCATTCAAGAATAAAATTATTGTAGGGGATTTCAATGGAGCATCCCCAAACTGGGGTTACTCTTATCAGAATCAGGTAGGAAAAATTGTAGAAGATTTTATTGGTACCAATGCATTATTTCTTTTATATGATAAATACGATCCAAACACCTTTATCCATTACTCAGAAAGTTCGACTAATCCAGACCTAAGTATGGTTTCTGCAAACATAGTTGAACAATGCAAAAGATCTGTGCTGGGCCACCCAGGTAGAGGACACAAAATGATTAAGACCTTAATTACAACAAAGTTGAAACTCACTAAGACCCCATTAAAAATTACGTGGAACTTTAAAAAGGCCAACTGGAAAGACTTTACTACAGAGATTGAAGGAAAAATAAGTAACATAATGAATGAAACATCACCATACAAGCGAGCTTTATCCTTCTCTACAATTCTTCTTCAATGTGCAAAAAAGCATATCCCACGCGGAAGAATGAAATCATACGAGCCTTTTTGGAATGAAGAACTAGCCAAACAAAAGGCCATCAGAGACCAAGCTAGGCTGAGAGCAACAAAAAAAACTGTGAATAAAACAGAAGCGGAATGTCGTCTAGATGTTATTAAATGGAGACGCGAAAATGCCATCATGAAAAAGAAAGTTCTCGAAGCCAAAAGAGAAACTTGGAAAGAATTCTTTAATAAAATGGACTATCGGGTAGATGGGAAAAAAGCCTATCGTTTAATTAACAGTCTCAACAACAAAAGAACTCCAAAAGTTAACCACCCAATGGTTTTTGGAGACAAAGAGATCCGAGATCCAAGTTTAATAGCTACAAAATTCAACGAATACTTTCTCAATAAATTCTCCTTAAGTAAACAAAAGAAGAAGGAGAGGACACAGCTTAGAACAAATTACTCAGAGAGAAATGTAATAGACCCCATTTTAGTAAAAGAATTTTCAATTGCAGAACTCAACCAAGCAATTAAAAATATTCAAACAGGTAAACAACCAGGACCAGACAAAGTTTTCCCTGAGTTTATTAAACACTTAAGTGAAAAAAACAAGGTTTTCCTACTCTCCATTTATAACACGTTTTGGAGCAAAAATATTAGTTTACCAGCCGACTGGGTGAAAGCAAACCTCATCCCAATTTTTAAACCAGGGAAACCAAATGAAAATTCTGAAGCTTATAGACCAATATCTTTGACATCTATTCTAGCTGAAACATTCGAAAGAATGTTATCCTCCAGACTCAAATCTCTACTTGAATCAAAAGAATTAATCCACGAAGAACAGGCAGGATTCAGAAGCAATATGTCTACAAATAATTCAATAATGAAGTTAGTTCATAAGGTCAAAACAGGGTTCAACTCTAAAAGAAGCTCCTTGGCAGTCTTTGTTGACTTTCAGGGTGCCTACGACACTATCTGGAGAAAAAAGTTACTTTACAAACTTGATTAAATCGGAATAAGATGAAATATGTGGAATTGGGTAAGAAGATTTTTAACCCAAAGATGGGTAAGAACCATATGGAATGACACGGAATCTCAATTCCGACAAAGTAAAATTGGCTTACCTTAAGGAACAGTTTGCAGTTGCTCTCTCTTTAACATATATATTAATGACCTCATAACAATCTTAGAAGAAATTCCCGGGGTTATTGTCTCCATGTTTGCCGATGATTTAGTCATTTGGATTGAGGCAACTAACTCCAGAAAATATCAAGATCAGAAACATTTCCTCAAGAGCTCCATGAATGAAACATTGAAAATAAATACTTCAAACTTGGTACATTGATAATAATATGCTTTTAAATAAGAACAAAACTGTGTATCAATTCTTTTCCCTCCGAAAAATTAAGATAGATTTTGAATTGAAGATAGATGATGCTACACTAAGTTGGAGTGATTGTACAAAATATCTAGGCGTAACACTTGATAACAAATTAAGCTTCACCGATCACGTGAAAGACACTGCAGAAAAAGTGGAAGGCAGAATAACAATGATGAAAAGATTTGCAGGAGCCAAATGGGGATGCAATCAAGCAACTCTGAATTCAACGTATAACACATATGTTAAACCCATAATCAAATATGGTAGTGAGGCCTTGATTTTTGCGGCAAAGAGTAGTATTGACAAACTAGAAAAGGCGCACAATAAAGCCCTTAGGGTTATCGCTCGAACAGCAAAAACTACCCCAGTCGCAGCAATGCAACTGTATACTTCCAACCCTCCCATCACCATCGAAATTCAAAAGCAGGCAGTCGGAAGTTACATTAAAATGTTGACCTCACACAGAGCGGAGTGGATTCTAAATCAGGAACCCAGTACTCTCAAAACTCAAGTATCACCAGTAGAAATATGTCAAAACACACTTCAAGATTTCGAAGCTA